AGTGGCAGGCACTGCTAGATTGGTGCATTCGTGGCACACTGAGCCCTTGCTATGTTCTGTGTTGGTTTTACCAGAGGTTTTCACTCACAGTGAGCCTTACCTCCCCATGGTTGGGAAAAGTTGACACCCGACCAACAAGCAGGAAATAATAGCCGTGGCAGGCCTCCAATCAAGGGCCTTCTCACGAGACAGAGCAGCACACCCCAGCCCACATCACCCCAGCCACGGGACCAGGGAAACAGCAAGCTGTCCTTACAGGCCGGGAGTGACTCTAACCACCCTACCAAAGTGGCGCAGGCCCTGGGGCTGCGTGTTGTGGTTTCTCAGTCTGTGGCCAGGCCTAGTCTTAGGAGATAACTGTGAGGTTCTGCTCTACCGACCCGATGGAATGAGTGATTCTTGTCTGTTGTCACCTCACGGAAGCTAAGGTCTATGAAGCTGGCATGAACCTGAAATAAATGAGTGTTTTTCTCATAGGAAATTCAGAGTTAATTTCCTGCCAGCCTCTAGTCACGGCATTTTTGTCAGTCAGTTCATACTTAACCTTGCTTTATGTGTCTCTGTTTAGGCACTGTTTAATAGCTGACTCATTAACAGTGAGCACACGGCCAAGTGCATTCTGACCCATGCCTGTACAAAACTTGGCTAAAACACATACCGTTTGTCCCCTCGGTTACTCAACTTTCTTGGCTTAGGCTATCAGGCAACCTTTCGGCACCAAGCTTGGGGGGCACTTTGAAACAGTAAAATCCTCAGTGACAAGCACACCAAAGGGAAAACCTTCAGGATACGCCTTGGGAAGGGCATTTCACACAGTATGAGGGCAAAGCTGAACCAAGAGGCAGAGCCTCCATTGCCTGGAACATGCTTGAGGGCGATCGCCGATGCCCATACTCGCCGCCTCTCCCGACTGGAACCATCCTGAAGGTATCTAGAGTAGTAGTTTGGGGTTGCAAAATGTTAGCACTGGGGCAGGTTCATAAGCAAGACTGTGAAGACCTGTGAGTAAAGGGACCCCAGTTGCTGGGCCTGGATCCCCTCCCCCAGCAGTCCAGCTATACAGGTCACGTGATCCAGACGCAGTTCCCCACAGAAACTAAAGGTTGTGAAAGGAAATGACATTCCATCCCAGATCTTATCTGCCTAAATTGTTTCCTGCAGATTAACCATTCATTTCACCAAAGGTTTATCATGGAGCCTCTGTGTGAGAAACTGGGTCAGGAGCTTTGGAGCATGCAGAGATAAGCAGAACATCAGAGCCTTTGTCCCCTGGAGAGAGAGACAGGCATGGGTTTCTGCTCTGATTTCTACAAGTCAGAGTAACGTGGGCATCCAGAGGACTAAAACCGACCGCTGACCTGAACCTGCTGTTCTGTAGCGTAACTTAAATTTAGCCTGAGCCTTGACAGACACATTTGGAGATGAGAGCAGCAGAGGGGGCTGGAGATTAGGCAGAGTTAAGGGCAGTTCCTGAAGGAGGAAGTAGCATGAGCCAAGGCCCTGAGGCAGGATCTCACAGAAACAAGTGTTGAGGGGGCCAGGCCGCAGGTCTGAGACTATAATATTATTATTATATAATATATTATTATTGTTATTATTATCATTATATTATTATTATTAGGAACTGTAGAGAAACACTGTGCCGTTTTACTTGAGCTTTCTTCTCTGGCTACCAGCAGATTTCTTAGAATAAGGGTGTTACGTGACAGCAGTTAGCAGCTTCTAAACTCTGTGAACGTACGTGCCGTTAGCACTTAGACTAAGCACTCATTACAACTTTTTTTTAAGGTCAGTGCTTTTAGGATTACAACTTATAGACAAGGAAACAGAAAGAACAGAGATGTTAAGTAACTTCCTCAGAATTCACAGCAAGTTAAAAGTACCTAGGGCTAAAGCCAGGAAGTATTACTAACTCTGTTTTTTTAACCTGGGATTAGTTTCTGGGTGTTTTAAGCTGCTGGCAGAATACCATGTGTGTTGGTGTGTACATTTGTTTAAGACGGGGGCCTACACATTAGCCATGCAGTCCCTGGTGTGTACGGTTCTCCATCTAAGGACTTGGCATCTGCTTTTGATGTCGTACTGCCCAGAAGGAAAGGAAATGTCAGAACAATCTGTAGGAACTCTTAGACCTGGACCAGCGTGGTGAGGGACAGGTATACATTCAATGAATACTTCCCAAGGTAGACCAGATGGAAAGTCCTTGAAACTTGAGGTCACTGGAAGACGAGGGGGCTTGCCTCTAATGAGCAGCAGTTATTCCCCTAATCTCAGAAGAGGTAAGTACGCCGAGATCTTGCCTTAGAAAAATGCTCTGATTGATGCTCCTCTGCTCTCAGCTAGACCAGCTTGTGTGCTACAGTTGCCAACTGGGCCTTCCCATACTGTGCACGAGACTGGGAATCCCTTGGAGCCAAGGAATCCAAGACAGGTCCCGGAATGGATGAGGGTGTCTAAAGAGCTGCCCCATTTGTATAACCTCTGCAAGTTAATATCTCGTTCCAGTACACTTTAAGTATTCGTTTTTTAAAATGTGTATGGAGCTAAGATACTGTGCCATGAAAATGTTAGAAGTTGAGAGCTGGACTCCCTGCTTCCTATAGTTTGTTTTTTTCCTCAATGATTTCTTGGTCTTTGCTTTCTTATTTTTAAAGAATTAAAGGTATTCTCTTATGCAGCCTTAATGTTGTTATACAATAAATATTCATCTTTTTGTAGCTACTACGATGGCTATGTTTGGCTGTCAACTTGACTACATCTGGAATTAACTAAAACTCATGCAGCTCACTACACCTGTGAGGGATTTTTTTTTTTTTAAACTAAATCATCTAGAGTGGGAAGAGCCTCTTCTAATCTGGATCTTTTGGGGTAGGAAGAACCACTTTTAATACAGATCTTTTTTTGAGGTGGCTTGCTCATTGCCTGCTTCTCTCACTCTTGCTGGCCACGTCCATTCCTTCACTGGCATTCGAGGCTACTTCTTTAGGACTCTGGCACATACTGGAGACCAGCTGGGACATCCAGTCTTGTGGGCGGAGCAGCTGCTGGTGGCTGTTCATTGGTAGACAGCCATTGTTGGACTAGCTGGACCACATTGTGTGTGTGCATAAATACAATTCATTCTGTGTGTTCTGTTCCTCTAAAGAGCACTGATTATTGCAACCACTCAGTCATTATTTACTGTCCATATTCAGGATTTTTCCTATATGCTATGAAAATACCCTTTACCTAAGTTTTGCTTAGCTTTGTGGATTTGATCAGAGACCATGAATTGCAGTTGGCCTTCATGTCTCTGTAGTCACCGTTTTGACCTGTCATGACTCTCTGCCTTTTTAAATTAATATGTGTATACACACACACACACACACACACACACACACACACACACACACACCATTTTGTGATGCTAACATGTTTACTTCCAGAAAGTTGTCTAGTAGAATGTTCTGTAACCTAAGATTCATCTGGCTGTTGCTGTCCTTGTGGAGAGATTCAGGTCTAACCTGCTTCTCTTGAACGTGTGCGGTATTAGCTAGGCAGTTCTCCACCTGCTTACCCTCTTCTCTGACAGCCCTTTGCCTGGTGGCTTCAATGTCTGTTCCCGGTCCCTATGTGAGAGGAATTGCTGTGTTGCAGTATGGTACCAAGGAAAGTTCTGATGCCACTTTATTGATAAACGTGTTTCTCACCCCATTCGGTGTTTGGGAAAACTGAAGGCCCCAAAGACTGAGTGAATGGTACTAACCATGGGGACATCTGGCATGCCGTCTCTTCTTCTGTGAGAGTGGGCTTCCAGGAAAGTTTTACAGGGGTGTGTATGTGCATGGGGTGAGAGCTCTTTATTTTAGAGAATTTTTTAAAGCTTAAAGTAATGAATATTGAGGTAGACAAGGAGACTGCAAGTCAATCACCATTCAGGTTCCCTTCTTAACAGAGAATGCTGTGACAATGAGATTAGTTTCCTTTCCAAAGCCACAAACCGGAGAGATGCCCCCAGTGCCTCGGAAGTAGTTTCTTTATCAAGTGCATTGTACTGAAATAAAATGGCATTAAGTCCACGAGGTTCGTTTGAAAGATGGGATAAGCTGGAAATTGTTTAGCAAGGGGACTTCTTGATCTAGGCTAATCATCTTCCAGGGGATTTATCCAGGGGCCTTTGCACCCCCTCGCTGAAGACATTCAGCACTGTTATCTGATGGGGATTTTGTTTCTTCTGAAAGCTGACCATTGTTCTCTTTGCCTGGGACTTAGGGGGTAGCAGGAAAAGACTCCTGGCAAGCAGTGCAACATAAAACCCACCTGTCATCCTGACATTAGATACCGTGTGTGCCATGTACATTCTTCACTTGCAGTTCATAATGAAACAGTGTGCTTTTGAACAAATCGACTACCCTTCCTAACTACACCCTTCTTTAATATTGAAGTTAGAGTCTTAGCATTTTCCAGGTATTCAGTTAGCATTGGCATCGTTCTTAATCTTTTATATTTGGGGGGAGTTTGAAACAGAGTTTCTCTATGTAGCTTTGGCTATCCTGGATCTGAATATGTAGACCGGGTTGGCCTCAAACTCACAGATCTCTCTGCCACTGCCTGCCAAATGCTGGGACTAAAGGTGTCGCCAACATGCCTGGAAGATGATGTTCTTGTGTCTAGATAGCTTTAACTCACGCCTGCTTCTGAATCATGAATTTGCGTTCTATTCTTAAAGTCTTGAGAAAAAGTTTTAGCCCTTGTTTACTGGCAGATCGCCCCACACACCTTACTGGGGTTCTTTTCATAGGTGATCTGTAACATAGTCACATTAACATGGCGTACTTGTGTTTGCATGGAGCTGAATGGCTTAAGTTTGATCACTTTTTCTACTGTATTCAAGATTATATTATAGTATTATGAATTCTAGAATATGATTGCGTAAGTTATACCTAGCTTTCTTGCGCAGCTCAGCCTTCATTTCTAGGTTGAGGCACTTGAAAGAATGGTTTTAATTTTTAGTCATAAGGTAATAGATCACAAAATTTATTGATTAATGAGAGATTAGCATGTTCTTGAAAATGATAGTAATTCTATAGGAGACTCGAGGGCTCAGCCAAACTCTTTTCTTCTGGTGGCCTCTTGCAGTTCACGCTTAACTCCTTTTGGTACAGGCAGTGACGAGCCCCCCTTCCCTTCCCCACATACATAGCCTTGGAGGACCTGCTTCATTTGGACCCATAACATATTGGACTAAAATGGATGAGGTGTGCTGAAATATTTCCTATTGCTAAATTCATTGTCTTGTTTCTGGTGTTTGGCATGCCATGTAATTCCAGAGGTTAGAAGGAGTATGCAGAAGCCAGACATATTACTAAAGAGGTGGGTTTGTTCTTCTGTACAGGGGAGGCATGGACCTGATGAAAATGGTAGCCTCTGCTCAACAATTCCTGTCTCCACCCCCCCTCCCAATAACCATAGATCTCTGTTATCTGAGTCTTCTCCCAGCGAATTACTTTGACTTGGGTTGAAAATATACTTGTTGACTTCAGAAGGCTGAATTCTTAGAAAACTTAGGTAGTATTTTGCTTCCTCGATAGTATTCCTTCCCCCCACATCTCTTTGTACTGTATTTTCCTCCATTTTGTCTATTTTATGTGTGTTTTACTCATTCTTCATTAACTCAAACCCCATTTCCAGAAAGCGGCTGTATCTTCCAGCCTCCCACCGTGGTGGGATGGTTTGGGTTGTATTTCCAGCAGAAGGCGGCTGTATCCTCCAGCCTCCCACCGTGGCGGGATGGTTTGGGTTGTCTTTCCAGCAGAAGGCAGCTGTATCCTCCAGCCTCCCACCGTGGCGGGATGGTTTGGGTTGTATTTCCAGCAGAAGGTGGCTGTATCCTCCAGCTTCCCACCGTGGTGGGATGGTTTGGGTTGCGCTTCCAGCAGGAATTGAGCAGGTTTAGAATGCCACTCACGGTCATGGTTCCAACGTCGCATGCATGTTGTTCTCAGGTGCCCTGGCATGCTGGTTGTAGTAAGTGGCTGGTCCAGAAGGAGTGTGAAGGTTGGAAACTCCCGTTATGTGCTCCCAGACTTGATTTCCTCATTTGTGAGGTGGAGGAGAGGACAGCACATACCTCTGAGGGATCATCGAACAAGGGGCTTCCAAAGTTTAAAAATCCGGGGCTGTCAGGCAATGAGTCATTCTTGGGGTTGGATTCTGTTGCCTCTGAGAGAATGTATCTTTCTTGCTGCCTTCTGGTGCCAGCTGGAGGTGTCTTGGGTAGAGCGTTCTCTCCTCAGTCGGGAGAAGACTTGTGTCCTCAGCCAGTGGAAGACACACCGGAAGTTTAGGCAGGATGTGCTATATGAGTGAGAACCATCCTCCTGGTGGTAGATGGGCGCCGCTGAGGAGGTCTCCAGGGAGCTCTTGGCTGCCTGACCTATCTCCTGCTGAGAAAACAAGAGTGAGTTAGGTGCATGTAGCATCAACATCAGTGGGCTTGCTATCGACTCCCAAAGAACCTAAGCTCACGTGCCCCAAATAGCCCAGCTACAGCAGAGCGCTAGACCCATTGACATAAACACAACACAACCATATTGACGTGGCTGTTGGTTCTACTTGCTGTCCCTACCCGCATCCCTCCCCCCATAGTCCTTGGTATCTTTCCTGCAGCCCCACCCTCTCTCCATTCCTGGCCATCTGGCCGTCTGGCCATGTGGCCATCACCTTCGTTCCTGTCCTAGTCTCCTGGGGCTCCCGTTGCCCCAGGACAGATAGTGAGGCTCCCCTGCCAACCCCCCCCCCCTCCTGGGAGGCATCTCTGTGCTCACCATAACTTCATCCTCCTGTAGCCCTGGAGGATTCTCTGGGGCCTGACAGGTATCTTTATTTTTTGACGTTTTATGCTTGGGCAAGTCTTGACAAATGTCATGTTTTTCATGCCTAACCCAAGCTGTATGTGGAGGGGGCACACTGATCAGGTGGACGTCTTCCTTCTGAGTAGATTCAGGGCACAGAGGGCTGTCATGTTGGCTACCTTTTTCTTTTTCTAGAAATGTCTCGAGTTTCTGTACTAGGTTATCCAGTTTGCAGAGAGTCAGTTTCGTCCTGTCTTCTGGCCACCTCTCCATCCACTGGCAGTGGCTGTTTAGGTCCCGATTAGCTAGAGAGTCTGCTTGGTCAGAGCTCCCATCAATATCCCAGGCCAGCGAGATGCTTAGCTTGCAGTACTGCTCCTGGTCCTCCTCCATCTGATCCTGTTTCCGGAAGAGTCTCGTTACACTCCCTGGTCCCCAGGAACTCTGGATAGGAGGGAGGAGGTGCAGGGAAGAATCCATGGAGGCCTTATCATCACAGGATGCTGTCTCTTCACAGGGGGCCATCTCTCTGTAGGAAAATGTGTTCTGGGTGGGATAGTAGCCAGTCGAGAGGCTCTGGTTGGATTTGCATTCAGACACAGAGTCCTCTGTGCCACTGTAGTCGCTGCTGGAGGGTGAACTTATCATGTCTTCCTTGACTCAGGGAGCTTAGGAAGAAAAAAATCAATATGTGATGTCGGAGAGGAAAGAGAGTCATGTGAGCCATCCCTTTTTCTGTGTGGAACTATCCCACCCCGTCCAGTCTAGTCCATCTGTGTGTATTTTCTGACTCTGTAAAATCATCTCCCAGTGTGACAGACACCCTCTGGGTATCTCTTCTTGAGCCTCTTGTTTGCCTGACAGTATTTGCTAGAACTGTGTCATAAGATAAGAGGGAAGATTGAAGAAGCCAGGAAGGTGTGGTGGAGTTCAGTGTGCTTTTGGTTCCCAATCCTGAGATCAAGGTAACCAGTTTCTTAATAAATACCTATTATCTGTGCACATATGTGTATATATGCACATATATACATATGTTTCTCACATCAACAGAAATTTACTATTAAATTTATAATAATATATGACAACTCTGTATTCTTAACTGTTTTTCATATTAAATAGCCTATTAATATTTAATTTTAATTAAACAGCCTATTAGTATTAATTTCTTACTAAGTAGTGTATCAATAATCCTTAGCTTAGATTATTAATGACCTCTAGGTTATGTAAATCTCTTTAAATGGTACGTGGGGTTAAGTGAACCAGGGATCACAAATACGTATTCTTATAATGGTGATACCAGATTGCGTTCTGGAAAGGTGACTGCCACCCAAGCACCTATCCTCACACTGTCTAATAACATCTTTATTCTACATTTTCCATGATCCCCCTGTAAATCGCGCTGGAAGACCCCCCCCCACACTCACACAGGCCCCTTGCACATGCCTCTGTCATCCCCCGAGGAGGCCTGCCCACATACCTGCCCACAGGAGACATACCTGAGGGCATCGGAAACCCTTCAGATCCCACGGCTTAGTGATTTAAGCCCAACCGCTTCTGAGAAGTTTGGGTTCCAAGGCTGTTGGTTACCACAGCAACAGAGAACCAAGCTGACGGGTCAGAAATGTGTAAAGGACAGGATCTATCTAGAGTATTCTTTGTACGTCCCACAGTAGGCTGGACTCACTAGGATCTTCCCAAAGGTTTCCCTCCCCCGAGGTCACAGTTAAGGCTCACCACGTGTCACGCTTTGGTTTTCACCGCCGCGCTGGCCTCCATCTCTAGGTCTGTTAAATTAGGTGGTTGTGGGTGTTGATGGCATGATGCAAGGCAGTCTTCGCTGAAGGCCAGAGAAGCACTTTCTGCTGTGCAGTAGGTACAGGTCAGCACGGCCCTCAGACTGCCCCAGGCCTCGTCAGTGGCTGGGGACCGCTTAGCTGTGTGCTGGGTCTAGTGATGAACCCTTTACCTAGTTCTGAGTTCTCCTGGAAGGGACCCCGACTGTAGCCATCGCTGGTTTTCTGAGGAAGGAGCCGAGGTGCAAGTGCTTCTCCGCACGGTCACCTTCCTAGACCATATCCTCAGGAACCTGGATCCAGACAGGCCGTGCACATCCTGTCCCTGGGGAGGGTCTCCGTGCACCTCCTCCTTACATCTGGGGAAAATGATAAAATCTGATAAAGTCCACAGTGAAACCACATCCTGGTTCCTCAGTGAGCAGCACGCTCTAGGAGACACGTTAGCTCTGCAGGTGCCCTACACGAGGACCACTGGGGTGCAGGGAAAGGCGTAAAGTAAGTGCCTAAGCGCCCAGCTTCCTCCTCAGTGTCATGCGGGCTGGGTTGTGCTGCTTTGACTTTTGCATTCCAGAATGCTAGGGCCTAGAAGAGTATTCCTCAGGAGGCTCTCCTTGTGTGCACCCGAAGAGGGGATGAGGTGAGGCTGTGCTGCCTGCTTCCCGTGGACACAGGACACTGTTCACCAAATATGAACAGCACAGAGGAGAACGTGGCTCTGCCAACAGAAGGGCTTCAGAGAGAGAGCCCAGAGAAATCTGCACTTTCCGTTTTTACCCTCCCTTGCTCCTTTGTATCCTTCCTTCTTCTTTCCTCCCCTCTGGGGCTCCACTCTGCTTCTCTTTCTACACACACATGCGCGTGTGCACACACACACACACACACACCCCTCATTTTAAATGCACAGTTCAGGTTGTGAAAGTCCCTGAAACTTACTGTGTCTCTAGCCTCCGAAAAAAAAATAGTCACTGCTAATAGTTTTATATATATTAATTTAATATATATTAATATAATATACATAATAACATATACATAATTTTTTCAGAGTTTGGAAAAGCCATCATCATATCTCCCTTAGAATGGCATTCTGTGAGTTCTACATGACACCCCAGCTTTTGTCTCCTGTCAATCAGGGGTTTGGGGTCTTCAGCAACAATACCTATTTCCTTTTTTTTTTTTTTTTTGAGATAGGGTTTCTCTGTAGCATTGGAGCCTGTTGTGGAACTCACTCTGTAGACCAGGCTGGCCTCGAACTCATAGAGATCTGCCTGCTTCTGCCTCCCTACTGCTGGGATTAAAGGTGTGTGCCACCACCGTCTGGCCTATGTTAGTTTCTTAGTTGGACTTGCTGGTCTGGCTTCTCTTGTGCTACCATTTTAATGTCTCTTGAAGCAAGACCACCCATAATAAATCTCGAGATTTTAACAGTGATAGTGGGCTGTGAACTTTTAAGTATTTTGGACAGCAAGCCAGCAGTAATAGTGCCTGAAAACTGGAACACTTCCTAAGGTCCATTGACTTGATGGGACTGGAAACCTAAATTTGTAGAGAAGAAGCTTCTGATTTGATGATGATAATTTTTGTGTCAATTTGACCAGGCCATGGGGTTTCTAGATACGTGATTAGCATTATTCTGTGTCTCTGCTCCTGCCAGCATGGCACCAGCCAGCACAAGCCTGAGACTACGGGACTCACAGTAAAGGACTCTCAGAGTTAGTGTCCTCACCCAGTCTACTGCCACTGTGGGAGCCACTGTGGAGACTTCTGTTTTGAGTGCTTTCTGCCATCAGAGGAAAGAACCAGGAGGAATCTTTTGGTTGGGAGAGTAAAAAGAGTGTTACCTACTCTGGACACATGGACTGAGTGCTGGCTGACAGGTCTCCCGTTGACAACACTCTAATTTGGGCAGTGTTTCTACCAATACCAGAAATGTTTGAAGGGCACCACTGGAGGGATGTAGGCTCCCTGGTAAACCAGAAGCCAAAGAGTAGAATTTCCTTAAGAGATTGTAGCGAAATGCTTAAAATGCGGAAGCTCTTCCTCCTATCTAGTCCTCAGGGCGCTGTGAGGGAAATGGGTGTGAAGTGGGGGGAAGGGCAGAAAGGTCCAAGGTTGAGTATTATGAAGGAACCTAACTAGAGGCCGAGGCGCTGGCACCTAGTTCCCAAGTTAACCTTATAGAAAGTGGAGCGCGGGGCCAGGGTGTAGCTCAGTGGTAGAACACTTGCCTGGCCTATGTGGGGCCCTCTATTCAGTCTCAGAAGTACAGCGTCAGGAAGGGGAGAGCCTGCCCGCCTACAGTGCCTCTTATATTTCGGGAAATCAGACACATGGTAAACAGTATCCGAAAAATCAGTGGAAATGGCTGTGAATAGCATCGGGCAGAATGAGTGCCTGTTATAAATAATAATTACTTTCAGTTTTGTTAGAAGGGATCCGGAGTAAAGCAGACAGGGAGCAGGCAGGGCTGGGGTGAGTGAGGCAGGATGCAGTTGACTGGCTCTGTCTGTCTCTGACTGTTGTCATTGAGTACCACAAAGTTCTCCCTCACAGGCACGCTCCAGCCGTAACACCCCTCTGCTCCCCTCCCACGTCTGCCAGCTCGCTGCTGCGTGTTTCTCCCCAGCCCATTAGCACTACCCCAGCCTACATTTCCCGAGGCTAAGAAAAATTAAGCTCTGGGAGGCTCCCCACCTCTGGCTCAGATCTCCCGCAGCATCTGTGAGTAGATGCTGTTGTGTGCATGCACAATGGCCTCCATTCATTTGAGGACCGCTGTGCACATCCCTTGGACGACAGCCTATTCCTGCAAGTGCATTTGAGGCTGGTTAATAAAAATGATATTGATTGACAAATACTACAGATGAGTCTTTTAAAAATCTGAAAGTTGAAAATGAATACTAAAAATTATGTTTTAAAAGCCTCCACAAAATACTTAAGAAAAATCAGAAGCATCAGGATAAGCGTTTTAAGGGAAGTATTTTAAATCCTCTTTAAATCAGATCTCCCGGAATCAAGGTAATTGGTAGTTGGCTGGAGCTGGGGCCGGGTATGGTGTCCCTGCAGATGGATACGGCGACAAACCATCTGTTAGGAGAAGGCAGTTTGAGGCACAAGTGTGATCATTAACTTTTAATTTCTAATAGGTACATAAAAAGAGGAAAGACTTGGGTCCAGTTATTTTTGCTGTACTTCAGGTAATTCATATATAGTATTGTAATTTCACATAAGATAAATGTAAAAGTATTAAGCTCTTTTGCATTTTCTCAACCAAATCTTTGATGTCTGGTAAGATTTGTTTACGTTCAGATCCTACCTGGTTTGGTCTGCACAGTCCTCAGCCTCGATGCTCATATACATGGTGCCTCCACCAAGCAGCAAGTCTCGACAGTGGCAGTAGCGGTCACGTGACTGTAAACGTTGTCAGGGTTTATTGGACTGTACACCTTAAAGGGGAAGCTTTTGTTATATAGATTGCATTTCTTTTTTCCTTTTTTTTTTTTGGTTTTTTTTTTTTTAAGGAATTTTTGAGACAGGATTTCTCTGTGTAACAGCCATGGCTGTCCTGGAACTTGCTCTGTAGACCAGACTGGCCCTGAACTCACAGAGCTCCACCTGCCACTGCCTCCTGAGTGCTGGGATTAAAGACCTGCACCACGACCACCCAGCTATAGATTATGTTTCAATTAGAAGTATTCTTGCAAGCCTACACTAGCCAATGTATGTTCCTCCCATGAATATGTATCAGTGCTGTCCTGGACGTGGAATTTGACAAGCCTGTTGTCAGATTCAAACAAGGAAAAGTCACCCAGAAGCTCGTGTTTCCATGGACTTGGGAAATGTGTGTGGGGGAGTGAGAGCGTGCGTGTTCACTTGCTCGCGTGTTTCTGTCCCCCGTGGCTTATGTGCATCTTAGCTTACAAAGGACTGGTGGACATTTAATTAGACAGTGCGGTTTTTAGGAGAAGGATTGGCGTGGGTTTGGCAAGATAAAGACAGGCACAAGTTGCTTCAAGAAGACGCAGTGGTATTTTTGTAAACAGGCTGTCACCTTCTCTTTTGGTTTTACGGACGATTTTTTTTTTTCAGTAGTGTTAAAAATCACTTGTCTCTGACCTTTTTCTGCGTCTCTTATGTACATTTTTGGGTGATTGTTTTGACTGGCTGCCAGCAGGTACCTGGGAGTGGAGGAAGGTGGAGCTCCTGGGCATGGAACATGTTGGTTAAGAACAAGTTTAACCTTCATGGCTAGGGCTGGGATGGTTTTGGGGTGGGACATGTTTACTCTATTTGTAAGTCATATTGTCTGCAATTTGATAGCTATCTGGATGTCTTCCCTTGTGTCTTGAAATTCCACATTTGCATTTTGTTGAAGCTTATATAAACTCTGGCAATTGACAGATGACTTAAGGAGAGTAGACCAGAAAATACATTCAGTGTGGAATTATGATATCTGGGCTGAAAATGAAGTTCGGTAACCTTGAGATGTAATTCTATAAGTTATGTGATAGGAAAATTAGCCCACAGTATTCACAGATAAATCCACAGTGAACACAGGATCTACCTGGTGGTTGTTTTAAGACTCACAACCCAGAGACTGCATTTAAGAAGTGCACCACGTGCTAAATTACCCGTTTGGTTTAGTGTAGCGTCCATCCCATTGTTCTCTTAAACCCGGAGGCAGCTGATCCAAGGTTAATTGTCAAGATGAATTTCATCTACAGCCATAAAAATTAAATTCTGATGTGTCTTAAAATTCTAATGCTCTACTCC